AGAGTCTCACTATGTAGTTCGAGCTAGCCTTGAACTCGTTATATAGCCTAGGTTGGTCTTGAACTCATGGCAATCTTCCTGCCTCAGCCTCCCTAGTGCTGAGATTACAGGCATAAGCTACCATGCCTGGCTTCACAATATGTTTTGATCACCCCTCATTGATCAAATGTTTATAGCCATCTCTATCTAATAAATACATCATGGTGTGTCCTCACCTACTGTATTCATTGGATCTGCACTGCATGACTTCTGGTTCTTCTCCAAAGTCAAAATCACCACGAAATGTCAATGTTTTGAATGGATGCAGGACACTGAGACAGCAAATATAGTTCAGCTCAAGTCACTCAGGAAAGAGGACTTCCGGAACTGCTTCAGAAAGTGGCAAGAATGACAGGACAAGTGTGTTGGGGGCAAGAAGGAGGATTTTGCGGGGCCTTTGTGGCAAAGTGCCTTTTACTTTAGTAATTCTTTTCATAAATTTAATCAAACTCTATATGCCCAGTAAGTAAGACTCACTTTTGCATGCACAAAGCCCATTCCTACTGTGACTCGCACCTTCCCCAGAACTTCCAGCTACCTCTGCCCTTCCCTTAGGTTCCCTGGACCCACTCTGCCTATGATGCCACTTGGTGTCTATGGTGGGTTAACTAATGGTCAGCTTGTAACACCCAGCTGAAGGGAACCAGTGCGGTTTTAGGCGTGGAAGGCCCACTTGAGGACTGTTGCCAAAGCAGAAAAGCAGAACCGGAGGGGAAGAGGCTGGTGCTGTTGATTCTCTGGAGAAGCTTGCCACACTGGCTTTCCTGATTTGACCTCAGCTGTCCTCATCATTGGAGGAGCTCAGGTCCTTGATGTCACTGAGCATGGCTGTAGTTCTCTTCAGGGGAGCTCTAGTCTTTACCGTGATCATTGCTTTCTGGCTCCAGTGCAGATCCCTCTGCCTGCTGGCACAGATCCTTCATCCTGCTAACGCAGACTTTCTAGCTTCTATTATTGGCCTTTGGGTCTTCCCAGCATAGATCCTTAATACAGACTTGCAGGAGACATTGTTGTGGTCTCTAGGCCTCTAGCTGGACTCATGCAGGACATTGCTGTGGGATCCAGGCCCTCACCTGGATTCTTGGTGTCTCTAGTATGTGGACAGATCTGTACTCTTCTGCATTTTTTATTATAAAGTAATCCTATAAGTTATGTGTCCTATATTAAATTTATTCCCTTGTAAACCCTGACTACAACAGTGTCCATTTAACCCCACTGGCATTACCAGTTCCCCCCATACCCTGGTGGTAAAGATATTGGATAAAATACTTCTTTTCCATAAGAGTCTCTCAAGTTTCTGGACAATTTGGAACAGCAGTAGAACCACTTTCACCACAAAAATAGTGTTACATCCATTCAGGATAAAATACTCCCTCCTTGAAAATTATTTCAGATATTATCTGAGCAGCATCTGCTGTTTCAGTCTCTCACAAAGGGTCTTTTTATAGGACAGCAGCCATTGAGGGAGAAAAGAGAGAAACAGAAGCTGGCTGGGATGCAGTCATTCCACCATCCATAAATGATCTTTTCATGAGGACACAGCCGATAAGGAGAGAAGGAAAGGCAAAAAGCATTCCTCACTTAGGAATGGAATAGCTGCTCCCCCTCAGCATCTGATTCAGATATTCAGAATGGCTCTCTTAGGGCTGTGCCTCTTGTGAATTATGAGTTCCCTGTCCCACCCCCAGGCTTCATACTAAAGACAAGACACAGCTGCCAGGGCCTCCAGAGATTTCCCAGCAGTCTAACTATGGTGAAATAAAACACCATATTATGCTGGAAAACTAGCCAGTCTTTTCTTCACATGGGCTGTGCTATCGCGTGGTCAGGATGAAGGATCCCAGGCCCTGGACATTTACTGCTTGTCTTGAGATTTGTAGCATGATCCACACGGTACTCAGCTTGTGTGTGTGTTCCCAGCATGATATGGATAATTATCTTCTGTGACCCTGGTGATCTTGTAGTCCCAAATGTCCTGGAATAATGACAGGCTTGGGATCCTCCTTGTTGACATCTTTCATGTCCTTACTACCAGAAGATTGCATTATACAAATGGGCTGATGTTTATACATAATAATTGGTTGAACTTCTTCTGATGTTGCAATCTCAGTTTGATGTGACTCAGAGGAAACTGGAACCAGCTAAAATAGGTCTGTAACCCCTCATGGAGATTTGGAGCATACTAGAGAAATGTTGGGAGGGTGTGAAATTGGAAACTGTCACTAGTTGAATGGTTCAAACTCCAACAGAGACCACTATAGTTTGCAACAGTAGTGTCTCCTAAAGGCCCATATGTTTATGGTTTAGTCTTCAGTTTAGCACTACTGGGAGGTGGTAAAGCCATTAGTGGGTGGGGCCTAGTGGGAGGAAGTTAGGACACTGGGGAGCATGCCCTTGAGAGGAATATTGAGATGCCAGCCCTCTCCTTTCTCTTCCTTTGCTTTCCTACCACCATGAGGTAAGCATACCTCCTTGGCCATGTGCTTCCCACCATGTCACAGGATGAAGTAACAGGGCCAAATGAACATGGATTTAGACCTCTGAAATTGTGCACCAGGATAAACCTTTCCTCATTTAAGTTGTTTGTCTCAAGCATATTATCACAGTGACAGATAGCTGACTAATACAGAGACTGAGGCTGAAAGTAAACATCCCGTCTCAATTTCAATCCTTAATAGTTTGAAAAAGTTTCAAATCCCAGCTCCTGGGTGAGCTATCAAAGCACAGGAGAGGGACTTTAGCAATGACTGAGTTTAGCTGGGCATGGTGGCACTTGCCTGTAATCCTAGCTCTGGGAGGCTAAGGCAGGAGGATCACTGTGAGTTCAAGGCCAGCCTGCACTACATAGCAAGATCCTATCTCAAATAAATAAATAAATAAATAAATAAATAAATAAATAAATAAATTTTAAAAAAGAAATGACTGCGTTCTTCCTATTGATGACAGTAGGTCTCTAAGTGTCCATACATAGCTCTTCCTATAGCCTCCCTCTACCATTTTGCCTATTTATAAATGAGCAGAAAGGATGAATGAACATCTTTCTCCTTGTTGGATATGACTTGTACTCAGAAATCTTAACTAGATTAAAACTGTCAGATGCTAAGAATCGAATTTCTTTCTGATGTATCTGTGGACTGTATATGGGAGAATAAGTAAAGACCTGTCTTGGTCACTTTCTTGTCACTGGCATACAATACCTGACACCCCCAGCAGGGGAGAGGTTTATCTTGGCTCATGATTATAGTTCATAGTTGGCTAGCTCCAAGGCAGGACAACATGGCAGAGAGGCATAGCAGAGAAAAGATTGCTCACTTCATTATGGTGGGAATCAGAATTTCAAGGGAGGAATCAGGGAGGTGGAGAAAAAACCTTCCAGGTCACACCCACAGTGACCCACCTCTTCCATGCAGACCCCACCTCCTAACAGCAAGTGAGCTATGAACTCCCGTAATCCAATCATCTTCCCAACCACCTATGACCACAAGAGGCTTTGTGGGGACATCTAGATCTAAACCAACACAGGATCCAACGGTGATATAAATGTTAATGCATATGATCCAGCTGAGTCCCTCTGGAGGTACTCAAGTAAAATCGAAAGCAACTGAATTTACCAACCACGGGACACAGATAGAATCTTACTTATTTTTCTATTTTTTTTTTTTTTGTGAGGAGTGCTCAGATAAAGTTGGGTTGAATTATTAGAATGGAAACATCTATGCCCATGTTGAAGAAAATATGACAGAACTATTAAATGCGATAAATATATATACTATTCTTTGAGTCATTTCTCTGTTTCTCGTTTATGAGGCTAGAATTCTTCCCCAGTGTAACTTGTTAGTATTTGCAAGTCATCACAGTGGCTGAGGGAAGGGAAATGACAATGGCCATTGTCTCATTTTCTAGAGATGAGCCTGCGTGTTACAGTCAAAGTAGAATGATGTTAGGCTGGGGCAGAAGGAGCAGAAATACTGCCCAGAGCGTACCTTGGACCCCCTTTGTGTCTCCTTGCCTTCTTTGACTAAAACAATTTAGGAACTCTGACCTTGCTCTCTGGCACTGCAGATGAAATTTACCCTGCCCAAATCGTGGACTTGTTTAGGGAGGGATTTCTCTCTCTCTCTCTCTCTCTCTCTCTCTCTCTCTCTCTCTCTCTCGATACTGATAGATGCGTAGCTTTCTTCACATCCTCTGAGGTTTCCATGATCGAACAAGCTTCCATTGCTGGAGATATTCGCAAGTGCTAGGCTCG